GTTCATGTACAGTCGCCAGGAGCGACCTTCAGGTGAAAACGAATCTTATTGTGAAACGACTATTAACGTTTATGGCACGTCCCCAATGAGGGGGAAATAGCCAATAAAAAAGACAGAAGAAAAATTCCTGTTTGAGCATGTCGGGAAAGTTCGCAACTTGGCCATCTGGAGTTCCCACTTCAGGTTCTTTCATTTCTAGCAAAGCCCTGCATGTCCTATAAATTTGAGCGAAATTTGGTGATGACGAGTAGAGAATGCCCCCTTGATTGAGTGACTGGGTATCTGGTTAATTTGGCGAGAAAATTACAAAAGCCGCCAAACTTAGCGACCATTTGGCGACATTTTGGTCCTGTTCGTGTATAACTGTAATGGGTATTGTAACTGAATAACTGTAATTGATGCTATATATAGCTGTAACCGTATCCGGTCTTCATATGCCTTCCAGTAATATCGAGAAGTGGAAGGTACTAAAAATCTCTTGGCGGCCGAAAGAAAACTATAATTAAGACGGGGAAGAGCATTAGTAGAATTGGTAGTTGTTTAATTAAGCGTGAGTTCGGAGTATTGTGATATCTCTTTATGGAGTACTGCGATATCTCCGTGTGAGCTTCGTTGTTTAGATGCGCTTGGCACTGCGCTGTGTTTAACGTTCTTGTTAGTGTGAAGTATAATAAGGATTGTACTCTAGGATACTGTGAAGAGCTGCGACGAGGATTTTTGTGGAAAATCCCAGAACTGTGAAGTGGTTCTTTTGGTCAAATAAATTTTATTTAACCATCATCGGTTCTGCGTGCATTGAACCCATTACGAACTAGTACGCTCTCGCAACAGTATGTTTAAAACAATGGCTAATGAAAATTAATAAGGAAATAGAATTAATGACTATAGTTTTAGCTGGACTGCGAGCAGAATTTCATTGAATTAAATTTTTAACACTTGTTACAGATTTTGTGTAAAAAGCATCCTATTTGTAGATATTTCTGAAGAGTATTATTATACAAAATACTATATTATTTTCATTTCTGTCAGGCAACTGTAAAACGTTCTCGTTAACATTTGCGAAGCTAATTATTGTATTTCATCTCACTTCTTGTGATAACCTCTTTTCTAGCTGAAATAGTAAAAAAATTGTCCGCTTTATCTTTTTCAGGTATAATTTTCATTTGTATCATAAAATGCACTATTTTCATTAAATTTTAGAACCAATAACAAAACAAGACAAGCAAAAATTTGCATGAAGAATTTCGTTGTAATTTGGATGTATTAAGAATTGCGCTTTAAATTGATGTAAATATTCAGTACGAGAAAAAGTTTCGATCGCGAAATTGGTTCAAACCAAATTGCCAAAAATGAGGTACACTGCTGCAGACAGTAAAGTACTTCAATATAGAGTGAATCACAACAATGCTGGAATGTCAGTGAAGTTTCGTACTGTTTACAATGACGTTCATCAACTTACTAAGGAAAAACGATCATTATTTCTAGATTTAAACTCTGTGCTTGTGTCTGATAGAAACAGCTTTTTTAGAATGCACCGCTGATGTTCAGTCTGATTTGTGTCTAAAAATCTAGTCAGCTGCTTAATTCATTTGCGTAATGGTATCTTCTTTCCCCATGTCGTGTTCAGAGTGGGATAGAAGTGTAATCTTTTAATATGAATGTATCTTCTACTAAGCCTGCATAAAATTATTTTGGAATATCCAAGAATCGAACTGTAAACATTTGAATTCAGAGTTTTTCATTTATTAGCAGTTAAGGATATGTGCTTCCACCTGACGTAGTGTTACTCTAAACACAGATGACACTTATCTCGTAAAGGTCTCATGAAGCATAATTTTCAACTTTTTGGGCTCGCGCTCCCCCCCTCCATTTTAAAAGATTTTTTCTCTGCTCGCTCTATCTCTTAGCAATGATATACAAGCACTAGATATCGTTTGAATGTGATCTTTAAGCACTGACTAAAAGCGTATGAAAAATTTCGGATATTATTGCCACGATAAATACAGTGAATATGCACTAAAAGAACATGCTACTTGTGGGTACTGAATATCCTAAACACACTATTTATGAACCATGAACATGTTTGTATTTTGTATGATAATACTCTTTAGACCGATAAACCGCAACTTCCTTCTCTTAGACCGGAAGCATGAATATACATACCGCTTGGAAGAGCCGAATGCTATGAATTGGGCATAGAACTACCTGGGCTTTTATGTTTATTAATCTATTATCTGATTATTTTGCCTGTACTATCATTTATACTTTCGTCGGCTCCTACCAGGAAGTAAATTATTTAATGTATACAAGAAGAGAGTTCTCGAAGTTATAAGAGAACTTTTAGCAGCTATCGTTAGCCGCTGCTAATTCTCGTGGATCTCCTAGATTTCCTTTAAGCACGCTTTAGCTTTTGTAAGCTGTGTGTGTGCTCACGCTAGACGAGGGTCTGGACTAAAACTTACAAACTAGGGAATATCAGAATAAGTTTGACTTTGACTCTTATTTTTTACTGTCTTAAAAGTAGTGGAGGTCATTTGCTATTGCACGAGCTGCTTAAATTTGCAACACAGAAGAAATAATGAAAAAGTTTGTTTAAACCTTCTTTTGACATTATGTTACTTTACTGAGGAAAGGGTGATAAAGATTCTAGCTGTCTTTGCGAAGCCAGAATTCTGCATTTAAATAATTAGGTCTCATACAACTTTTGTAACAATGCGTGATCGTTATATTTGTATAATCAAGTGAATATTTAAATATTTGTTCAAAACAATTTTAGGCAACGAATCTTCCCACACGTGTTCCTATCGCCCACTTGTTTCCGAGTTTAGTACAATTTTTCTGCCCATCAAATCAGTAATATCCTCCTCTTCTCAGCGCTCATTGTTCGCTGACACCATCCACAAGAAACCATACATAGATTAATATTTTTACTTTAGCGACAGTGGGTGATTCTGTTCAGATTCTCTCCGTATCGAATAATGCCTGTTAATGCTTTGCGTCCAGTATCTGGAAACATCGGTAAAGAGTACGAATTTCTATTGGTCTGAGCCTACTTCAGTCGCTGTATGTCACTGCATAAAGTGAACTCTACCTAAAACATTGGCTGCTTAAAACAGACATCAAGATATGAAGCGTTACACATGTAGTAAAAGCTTATCCAATGTTTGAGGTAGCTGACTCAAATCATCAAGGTCGAGTTCTAACAGATGATTTTCTTAGTCTTAAAATTAATCATATGTGTCAGTATGACACAGAAGCCTCAACATTGGGAATTCTTTCAAAGGTGCGATAAGGATTTCCTGCTCAAAATTTGATTTCGTAACCGAAGAAATACAAAAAGTCTCCTATAGAGTATAAGGTATTTTCTCCTTTCCTATACTCGAAGTGTATTCAAGAGGTCCAGGGATCGAGTCCTGGCGAGAGCACTACGAATTTTTACATCTCTTGTTTCAAAAAGCGTAATGACTCTACAGTGGCGTCCTAACTAAAAGCTGGTGGACGATAATTCGTCACTATCATGATTTGGCGATTGGGTGCCCTAATCCCCAGCCGTTCTTTAAAAGGGGGAGTATATAGGATATTTTATCCCTCCTTTCCGCATGCCTTCGGAGTGTAATTGGAAGCATACTCGTCGCGTATTCGAGAGGTCCTGGGTTCGAGTCTCGGCGAGGCCACTGCACATTTTTCACATATACTACTTCAAAAATCCTAATGACTCTATAAGAGATATGGTAAGTGGAATGATTGTAGTGCGCTTCGAGGCAGTCGATGGCCCCCAATTGCAGTTCGCTGAACTTAGCAAATGATGTATCGAGATCTATCTAGCAAAATGACTGTTTCGAGTTTTATGCATTTGTATTTAGAATATGAGAAATTCATATTCTAAATACATAGCTCTGAATACATATTGTGTGCTACTGTCAGATTACATATATTATGCAATCCAGACTACTTTTCCTGCTATATACTGTGACGAAGTTTTATTTCTGTCTATATGATTAATTTGGTGAAGCTCGGCCCTGGTTTTAGGCAAGCCATTTCACATTTCCTGTTTGCGCCTTAATTAACGAAAAGAAGTATAGTTTCATTTCCAAAATTATTTTTCAAAGTGGTTCAAAAGTCTGGGAAAAATTTTTTTGGGTAATTATTTAAGGAAGAGGTATTAATAGCAGAAGATTCTGACATTTTCTTAATACTTTTTTGGTTTTCTTTTTCGTCGATCCTTGACACAAACTTACTTATTTCGGAACCCTGAAGCAGTAAAAACTGTGTTTAAAGAGGGAATTATATTTTTAACCTTTGAATCGGGATATAATTATTACAAACATGGAATTAAAAATTAGGTTATTATTTTAAATAAAGTAACTAAATATTTACGAATAATAATCAGATTTTAGTTTTCGATTTGAAGTTTAGTTACCTTAGAGCTCAATTGTCGGAGTACTTCTTATACGATTTAAATTCCAGGTGCAGTCGGGAATTTGATTTGTAATGAAGGGAAAGGCCTTATATTATTGCTTAACTTTCATTTATTCAAAATATTGTTTTTGAAACGCAATTCTGAATTCATAAACGAACGCTAATTGCAAGCACATTACACAAAAGTAATGTCATTTAATTCTTACTAACGGTGTGAAGAAAACTATTTGTTACGCATCAGAACGGTTTATTGATGCTTGATTCTCGGAGCTTTTACTAGACGAAACATTGCGTGTGGCTATTTTTGATGGGAAGAGAAGGAAGAAGGCTGTCAGGACAGTGGAGCACAATGAATGACTGTTTGATTGAAAACTTCCCTTTCCTTTATTATCTCGAAAAATATCGCCTAGAAATCAACATTGGCAAGAAGATGTGCGGTAGGTAAGAAGGGGGTTTGAAATCACGATGGGATTTAAAATAAAGAGCCCGAGATGCGCCTGACCTTACAGAGGCCGGCACAAGTAGGCCACGCAAACCTATTGGCGGGATTGAGTCTTCCTCCTAGGGATCCGGTTCAGTGGCCTCCGTCAATTCGGATGGTTGCTTCAGTCCCGCGTGGTTTCGCTTTCGAAGAGGGTTATGGAGACTGCTTGAATCATTTCATCGACAACATCATGGTACGGTGGATTGGGATTTTCGCACTACTCGTTGTAGTTTCAGGGGACTTCCTACATTTCCCAAGAGGTAAGTAAATCTTGCCTTATTATTATTTGTAAATAGCGAACATATATTATGAGAAAACAAAAATTAGTATCTTTATTCTTTATCAGTTTATCTTTATCGGAAGCACGATAAATATTTCCCTAATTTTAATTTTACGCATAAATAAATTAAATTAATGAGTAATTAAAGTTCTTAAGGACTACATGGTGACTATATTAGCCATTTCCTAAAAGATCCTTGTTGCAAATTCACGCCCGTATACCTATAACGATGCTTAAAGAGAGATAGAGAATTTGTAAATATGTTTTAGAAAAGTTTGGAAATACGAAAAAAAAAAAAAAAAAAAAAAAAAAAAAAAAAAAAAACCACAGTACAGTTGTGAATTTTATTCTCAGAGGATGTATTTAAAGATATCAAGTGTGACTTTTATAACTAAAATAATGCTGTGACTCATATGATGAATTTAAAAGAGAAAACGTAACGCCAACTAATATTTTCTACAATAAATTTTTGCACATGTAGTAATGAATCTTGTAATTAAAAAATTCATGCTTTTTATTTCTAGAAATGGTGATGAGAAAGCCTATTTGCAAATATTCAGACGTATTGGATATGGACAGCTTAGTTTTCCCCACAGTTTTACAATAATTTGTTGTTTATTTTTAATTCTACCAAACTTTATTTACACAGGCTTGAACGCTTTTTAAGCTAAAAATTTATTCCTAAAAATAACACACATGATGAAGCACACAAATTTAAGAGCTTCATTGAAAATTCAGGACATGTATTGTTTCAAAATTTCGTTATCGCTTGATTAGTGGGAAGGAAAATGATATCCTTCTAATGATACCCCCATTTGAAAGATTTTAGAAATGAAAATTGCCATTCATTAAAAATAAATATTGTTAGGAGAAATATAAATATTGTTAGGAGAATATTGATTTACACTCTAGTCTCGTCGTCAGTATTTGATATTCCATAATCGTGACATTTGTTTCCTTGCTCACTAAGACGTTTTCCTTTTGCGTAGATCAGTATAGAATTGAGAAAAAAAAAAAAAAAAAAAAAAAAAAAAAAAGGTGTGTGTGTTATACAACAGAAGTAACTTTGTGGATGTATAAGTTAAATTAATTACAAATGGCAGATTTTTGAGAGCATAAATCTCAGAAATGAATTCAAACGGAGAAAATATCTCGCATGGAGTTTCAAGGTTGGATGCACTGCTATTTGATTCGCTTGAGAGATATATACAATACTTTTTATGTCTCTTCCCGAACTGAAAGATAGGAAAATTCATTTAAGAGGTAAAGTTTTTATCAAAATTGCTGAAAATAAATATAGAAATGTCGAGCAAATATGAGTTTATTTTTAAGGGATTAGCTTACATTCGTCAGACTTGTTATGGCATTAAAATGCTGTCAAAAATAAAATTTTTCTGGGAAGCATAAAGAAACAGAAGGAAATGGAGACTGTTATAGTGAGATCATATGAACCAGCGATGCGTCTTCTCCCTAAGGTGAAAAGCATAAATACTTTGTAGAGTTTGTATATTAATTAACCAGTTACTATGATTTAAACATTTATTATAATTTCTTCTTTTCTGTAATCAGGATGCAAATTAGTTGGTTGAGTATTTAAATCAAGAGTTTGAATGTTTTAGATATAGAGCTTTTGGCAGCAATACCTGCAGTTTTCTTTTTATTGCCTAGCTCTGCCATTGACTATCCCGGCTTAGCTATGTCCCTAGCCGACGTTGAAACGCGCGATTAAAATATTTAGCCAGCTTAAGTAGGCCACTTTGGGTAGTAATCATCTACCATAATTTAATTTGAACTTTGTTATTTTAAATAACCATAAGTGGCGGGGTTTATTTTTACGTAGAAGTCGTGCTTTCTATCATTTAAAGAATTAATAAAATGTTTACTTAAATCTTCTTAATCATTTAAGTTATAATTCAGACGGAACGACAACTCGCTTGTCAGTCTGATAGGATCAGAAGGACTTTGATTTAGTTTCCACACAATTAGAACTCCATAATTTATTAAGTTAAATAAAAACACAAAGTTTGAGCTTCTAGAACATTTCTGAACTACTGCGATCTTGAAACTCTATAAAAGGAAATTTTTAGCTTTTAAGTTCGTATTCTTATTTACAATTTCAGGTCCGATCAAAAGCCATTTGTTTAGATCCTAATTCATAGAAACATACCTCAGCTATGAATAAAGAGCAGTAAAAAGAGGATAATTTTGTAATTAACTTTGTATTTAATTGTCAAGTTACTGGAGCAGTAAAAGAATAGCATTTTAATTCTTCCATCCATAATGTGTAAGTAATACTATGTGTACTAATTTACACGAGAAAAGGCTTTCGGATGGAGTGTATTACTTTCTCTGCTTTTGAAAAACCTGTCTCGCATCAAATTTATTAGTGGCTAATAAGTATTTTATTGTTTAATATTTATCAATACGTAACTGAAAAATTCTTCTAGAAGAAACAAAACGTTCAAAACAGTCATTGCTTATTATATAACTTAGCATCATTTTTAACATTTTATCTCAGATAAATTTCTTTTCTTTCAGACACTTTGAATTAAAAATGTATCAATAATATATACAGGATCAGGTTTTTAATACCAGTAATATATACAGGATCAGAATTAGGTGCTAGTTTAAATAAATTGTGTTATGTATAATTAAATTAAATGTCTATCATCTATAAATAATATAGCTAACTATATAATTACGACAATATTTTACGTCTCAGTAAATTATTTTAAGCTATTTACTATGCAGAGCTCTCAAAAGAATTGAAATATGGGCTTCATATCATGATTTATAAGAGGAATACTTTATTTAATTATGATGCACATTGGAATGAATGAAAGCAATGCATTCACTCACTTTTCTTTGCTACTTCTGTGATTGATTTGAAGTCAAGATTCAGACAAACGTTTAAACCAAAATAATAAAAAATGTCCTTCTTTTCACTCAATCAAAACTTCCTGAACGTTTATGCTTGTCGGCAGTTAATAATTTCACAAATGAAAAAGCACGAAAAGTTTGGAAAAAAATTATTTTCTAAAACATCTCACCCATTTTAGAGCAAATGGAGAGAAAATCTGTCTCTTTAACATTTTGACTCAGTTTGGGTACTAAAACTGAGAAACAAGTTTGACCTTAATATTTCTTCAATGACATCTTTATAAAGATTAATAGTTAGGATCGAATATCAGAGGATAATTGTGTCACATTACCTAGCGATATTTTAATTATATCTGTGAGGTCTTTAGAAATAGGCAGTCTTATAATAGGTATCAGATGTTTAATGAAAAATGTCGTCTTCGTTGAAAGCATTTAGGTGGAGTTTCAGTAATTTAGACGCTGTAAATATTTCACTTGGGAAAAACATATAGAAAAACATATTCTTTTGTTAGTGACATTGCTAATTACAATAGGTTGCATACGCAGACGACATGGAACTGGTAGGAGGAGGGAAGGTCAAATGGGTAGAGTTCATCTTTCAAAAATATCTGGTACTTAGAAGGTTAACCAAATGGGCTGACCCCGTATGTGCATTCGAATCAGGAAGTTTTCATGTATTATTTTTCATTAAAGCGACAAATTAGCTCTATAAAATAGCTAAAAGCTCTACTTAAAAAGTGGAATCGTCCGGTAACCTTGCCACTTACCATCGGGGATTTCCTTTTCGCCAGTTTTGAAAACAAAGTAATTTTTCATAAGCTCATGTTAGTTCCTAAGCTCTGGAATAACTACAGTAGAGAAAAACCAATCATTTTTAAATTAATAAATTCACTTGCATGGCAATACAAATATTTCTTTTCGTAGGTCTATATGTTACAGGCAAAGAATTACCTTGATGATGCATAAACAGAACACAGAGTTGAATTTCAGTCGATTAGAGCACTACTTTAAAGGACCTAATTATATAAGGGTAATTAAGATATCAGTGGAATATATTCCTGTATTCAAGAGTAATTGACAGCAACTTTAAAGACATTTTTAAATGAAAGCTGAAGTTGTAACAGTTCAAAGTTCCACCATTTCTAATGTATCCGAAGTCTTCTTTGGAAGAAAAATCATGCTGTGAATATGCCGGAATTTCAAGAGAAGAAAGACAATTTCAGTGGATCGTGCTATAGAAATGCTCATCTGCAAAGTAAAAAAAATCACAGATTAGCTTCTCACCCGAAAGCTCAATTTTTGGAAGTCGTAGAGTTTACAGAGATTTACATCGATTCTCAAACAATAGAATTCTGTATCTTGAAAATATGCATTTCATCTAATTTTATATAGCTAGACACATGAGGTACATAATTAGAAAAGTGTAAAGATGAAGATGTATGCTTTTATATCGGCTTAGAAAAGAATATTAATATGTCCCTTTTGTGTCACTTCCTGAGAAACATTAATAAAATGTTTGTTTAAGGATTTAAAGAGAAGGAAGTTAGAGAAATATGGAGGCACAGCCTTTGGAAATCTTTCAAACAGAGGATAATTTTTGTTTGAGATTAAGTTTCTTATATTACTCCATCTAGCAATAGAGGAGATCTTTACAAAGGGGATTATGAAAGAGCGAGGAAATTAAAGAACGATCGATAGAATGTGTAGCCTAAAACTTAAACTATATACCGAAGTTATTTCTGAGACAGAAAGTCTTAAATGCTAACATTCAATTAAAAGTTTCCTCTTTAACTGAATATTAGTGTTTCAACTGCTATTCAACTGAAAGAAATTGGGTAGATGGATTAAGAGGTTATTTCTTAGAGAAGAGAAACAAAGCGGATGAAAAGTTTGCAACTGGTTTTTAAATTATTAAATGTGCTATGAGGTTAAGAAGATGACGGATGTAAACAGAAATAACTGCAAAGTAATGCAATGATGATATAGCAAAAAACCACTTGAAAAACATAAAAAGAAGGACTGAGAAATGATGAACTTATCAGGGCTTCCAAAGTTCACAGAAGTTGAAACGTGTCTTTTTAAAAATAAATACTTGCGTTA